TAGCATCTGTGAGGTGGTCTCCTGTGATGCTGTGATTTGCAATAAGAAATATATACTTGGTCTTTGTCCCCATTTCTGGCAGAGAGCTCCCAAAACCACACACACATGCACTGGAATTGATAATCAGAATTTTACCCCTTCCTCTTTTTCTCCAGCTTTCTCTGGGGTTCAGTGACACTATTTCTTCCTCTTCCTCCATAGTTGTAGAGGTAGTAACATTTTCCCGTTATTTTTAGTCTCTGGGGGCTTCAACACTCTTTGTAGGTTCTTTATATCCATACCTCTACAAGGAGTCCATACATATTATAGCCTCTAGAATTGTGCTGTACAATATGATAACCACTAGCCACATATGGGTATTGGAATTTAAACTACAGTAATTAAAATTAAATACAATCTAAAATGCAGTTCCTCCATTGCACTAGTCCTATTTCAAGCATTCAGTAGCCAATGTGGATAGTCGCTACCATTTTGAACACTGCAGATATAGAAGTTTTGAACACTATGGAAGGTTCTGTTGGACAGCACTGCTCTAGAACCAGCCGAGTGAGATTCTGTTTCCTGCTGGGAAGGACTGGTACTTACCTGCCCCAACATCCATCAGAACCAAAGCACCTTTATCCGGTTTATACATTTAACCTAGTTTAAACTGTCATTGATTCTCAACTATTCTAACAGGCATTCAAGACATGTTTTATATATAAAATAGATAAACAACAAGTTTCTACTGTACAGCACAGGGAACTCTGTTCAATATCTTATAGTAACCTACAATGAAAAAGAATATGAAAATGAATATATGTATGTGTATATATATGACTGAAACATTATGCTGTACACCAGAAATTGAGAAAACATTGTAAACTGACTATACTTCAATAAAATAAAATAAATAAAAAGACATAATGTTTAACCTCATGCACTGCAGATGAGAACATGCAAGGGCACAGCCGTTTTAGAAAAGTTTGGCAGTTCCTTAATATACAAAATGTTTTTAACCGTCTGGTCTTGAATAGTAGAAGTTAGCCAGTCAGAGAGAAGAGGGAAGAGAACTTCAGAGGGAAAGAAGAGCTTCAGCAAAGGCCTGGAGGCAACAAAGAGCCTGTGGGGTGGAAGCTTCTGGAAGAAGTTCACTGTGGCTGGAGAATGGGGTCTGGGAAGGGCTGAAAGCAGTAAACACAGGCCTGTAGGCCCTTGTTAGGACAGGCAGTAGTAAATCTGCCAAGCTTCCTATTCTGTCACTGGCCCAGGGTCCTGGGCAGTCTTGACAGTAATGGCACCATGCTGGTGTCCTGCCACCTGCTGCCCACTTTGGAACTTGCAAAGACCAGTGTCTTCCTGACACAGCCACAGGAGTCAAGTTCAGTTAACACACACTGGTGCAGCTGGCCCATTTGTTAAGATACTGGAATAGTTCTGTACCTCTGTGTGGAGAGCCACTGGCCAAGGCAACCCCTCCAGTGCCCCTATGCCAGTCACTCTGGGTATTCCTTCAGGAAACCGCAGAAGGGCCCACATTCCTGTTACTGATGTGTTTACACCTGAATAACAATAGTACATCCGCTCCTGTGTTACTATAAGGACTAATGTGTGAACAATTTAGCCTAGTGCCTAAGCACACATTATTAGTACTTAATAAATGTTGGCTATTATTATCATCACCAAGGCAACTTTAGGAACAATCAGAGCAAAGAATGTTCCCCAGAAGACAAACCTCCAGGGGGCTTCAGATAGATGTCACGTGCCCTGCCTCCTCATGGATCCCAGACTAGTTGGTGGCAGGGAGCCCATGGGCATGACATTCAAGGCTAGGCTTCTCCCACCAGTTTGCTCCTCCATGCTCACCTCTAGCCCACACAGCCTCGGTGTTCATGAACCCAGGGAATAGGGCCTCCTGCTGACCTCCATGGAGGACTCTGGGGACATTCGTGGAGAACCAGAAGCTGCCCTCTACTGTCTCTACTGCCACTGATACTGGGGCACAAGGTGGGGCTGGGCTGGGGTGCAGCACAGTGTAATCAGAGAGCCTGACTGGGGCTCTGGCCAGAATGGAGTAAAGAGTCAAATATACCTACCTTCCTTAAACAAGTGAAAATCCTCACAAAATCCAGGCGTTTCAGACACTAAACAACAGGCTGTGCAAGATGGTAACTTATTTAGGTCCTTAAGTAATGTCAAACACCCTCCTCTTCTCCTGTCAAATAGAGATGGGTTTAGCCTGGGAAGTCTGGGTCAGATAAGAGGTAGCAGCACCCTTAGGCCAGAGGGTAAATGCCCACATTGTGCCCAAGTGTGAAGAGGTCGAGATAGAGAAATATGTCCATAACCGGGCACTGGAGCCGCAGGGCTGATGGCACTGAGAGCTGCAGAGCAGAGACACGTGGGGTAGCAGGTGGAGAACAGGAAAGTGAGAACAAGGATGATAGCATCAGAACAGGAAAACCAGAGGCTGCCCAAGCAAATCTCAGACATCATCAGCAACTGCAGCTGGGTTTTCTAGGCTTGTCACATGCAGTCTTTACCCAGGTAAGTGAGGTCTCACCTACAGGGCAGGCTGGGCCAGATAAGCCTCCTGGAGAACAGGGCAGCAGTGGCCCCCAGCCAGCCGATTGGAGATGTATGCTGGGGTGGCCCCCATGGAGGAGGCTAAAGGTGGGCTAGAAAGTGCTGAACTTACCACGAAGAGCATATCATTGAACATGGGGAACAGCCAAAAAGACCAAGGAGCAGCCTGACCTCCACAGGAAGTTCAGAAATGACTACTGACTTGAAGGAACATTTCTACCCTGGGGTCCTGCGCAAAACACCTGCTACTAAATCTGCCCTTGAGAGAAATTCCTCTTGGGTTGCAGCATCAGGAAGAGCTGGGCATCCCCAGGGCTCTAGCTTGGTTCTGGCTGGAAGCAGATTGGAAGGCAAACTGCCAGGTTCAGGCCTCCCCACTTCCTGAGAACTTGGGGTTCAGTGATTGTGCAATCAGGCAGCAAGCCAGCTGGGCGGGTCTAGAAGGGGTGGCAGATGCGTCAAAGTTGTGAAGACACCCAGACTCCTCAGGCTTTGTGGAGCCTGATTCTTCATTCATCTGAACCCCTTTGAGGGGTTGTCCTTGTCTTTCCTGGGGCACCCCCAGATGCCCAGGGCAGAGGATGAGACCCCAGACCTCCACTGGTAGCACCCAGAATCGCCTTCCCCTACTCCTGTTACTCTTCTGGAAAATGGATTGCCAAAGGTAAGAGGCTGTATTTCAGAGGGTCTGGTGTCCCAGATGCAGTGATGACATCTGCAGCTTTTACCCTGAACCCCTTACAAATTTGTTCATGACTCAGTGACACCCCCAGGAGTTAGAATGCTCCTAACGACCCCTCAGCCCTGCCTCCTTGGGAGACACTTGGGTGCAGACATCTGTATGCTGACCATCCAGCACACCTTGCCCCTTCTGGGGCTGAAAAGACAGTCAAACAGGCTCCCACACTCCAGTCTGGCTCAAGAGGGTGCTGTCTCTCTGACACACAGGACAGGGAAAGAAGAGGTTCGTTTCCTATTCATTCATCAGCTGATCCCGTCTCAGGCTAACTGGTGGAGTCAGACCAGGAGAAACCACTTGCATGCGCATCAGACGTCTGTGCTACTGGGCACCGCGCAAGAAACGATGACCAACCTGGGAAGTGGGGATTGGGAGTCCAGAAGCCTTTAGGCAGAGGAGGCCTAGAACTATGTCACAGCAGACAGAGTCACTGGTCTGTCGTGCTGGAAGGTCAGGAAAGAGAGAAGAGCATCACAGGCCAGGCCTGGAGAAATGAATGGTTTGTCCTGTTCTGGGAGCAGCCTGGAGCCTGGAGTTGGGCAGAGAAGGGGGAAGGGAAGCAAAGGCAGATGTGGAGATGGAGGGGCTGGCTCGGGCTGGGCCATGGAAGACCTCCCGTCAGCTTCAAGCTTCTGAACTTCATCTTGAGGGCAATGGGGAGGCTTTAAAAGTTCCAGTGAAAGGCAAAGGACTTCACTTCTGTGGTCTTCCTCCCCCAAACCCATAACCCAAATCTAATCATGGGGCAAATACCAGAGAAGCTCAAACTGTAGGAATTTGCCAAAACAGCTAACCAGCATGCCTCAAACTGGTCAAGGTCAGTGAAAACAAGTCTGAGGACCAGTCACAGCAGAGGAAGCCAAGGAGACACGACAGCTAAATGCAATGTGATGTCCCAGGCAGGATTCTGCAACAGAAGAGGGACATTAGGGAAAAACTTTTAAAATCCAGATAAAACGTGAGGTTTAGTGAATAGCAATCCACCCATATAGTGGGATGTTATCCAACAATAAAAAAGAGTAAAGTACTGTTATATGTTACGTGGATGAATCCTGAAAACATGCTAAGTAGAAGCAGCGCAGGAGACACAGAAAACCACGTATCGTATGATTCCATTTATATAAAATGTCCAGAATAGGCAAATCTACAGAGACAGGAAGTAGACTAGTGGTTGGCAGGGACTGGAGAGCGAGGGAGGATGGGGAGCAATGGGGATGAACTGCTAATGGGTGGGGTTTCTTTCAGGGTAGAGAAAAATGCTCTAAAATGACACTGTGGTGCTGGTTGCATAATCCTGTGAAAAACCACTGTACTTTAAATGGGTGAATTATTTCTCAACAAAGCTGTTTAAAATTAGTAATGTCATTGGTTCATTAGTTGTAACAAATGTACCACTGAAAGATGTTAACAATAGGGGAAACAAGGTAAACTCTGTTCTATTTTTATAAACTTTCTGTAAATCTACAAAACTATTGTAAAATATAAAAAGGTTACTTATATAGAAATTATACACACACACATATACAGAGTTTGTTTTTTTTTTAAAGGCAAGAGAGTTAAGTGTTGATGGGGGCTTATAATAGGGACGTGGCCACAGGGAGAGAGAACTAGTAATGGTCACAAAGGAAAGAGGCATTAGATTGGAGTGTTAGTTTCCTACTGGGGCTGTAACAAATGATCCCAAACCTTATGTCTTAAAACAACACAACTTTATTAGTTCTAGAGATCAAAAGTTCAAAATGATTCTCACCAGGCTAAAATCCTCAGTGGAGCTGCATTTCTTTGTGGAGACCCTGGGAAGAATTCATCTTTTTTGCCTTTTCCAGCTGCACTCCTTCGTACATGGCCCTTTCTTCCATCTTCAAAGCCAGCCGTAGTGTAAGACCTTCACCTCCCTCTCATCTTGACCCTCCTCACTCCCTTTCACTTAGTAGGACCCTTGTGATGATACCTCAACAATTCACGATAACCCCCGCCTCTAAGTCATTAATGGAATCACACTTGCAAGGTCCCTTTTGCCAAGTCAAGTCATATAGTCACAGGTTCTGAGGTTGAGGACAGGGACATCTTTGGGGGCCACTATTCTGCCTTCATGTGGTGTCATCAGGAAGGTGAACACAAGAGGCTAGGGAGAGGGTGAGGTCAGCTTTGGATCCAGGGAGCCTGAGTGTGTAGGACATCCAGGGGAACACCCCCCCATCTCCAGCTTCCATCTATTCACCAAACACTAAGCACCTCCCATGACTGAGTCACTGGGGGTATAAAGGTAAGCATTGTACTTCACTGGTCCTAAGGCACCTGATTCTGAAATCAGGATGCAGCTTTGAATCAATGACATCTTAACAACTGTAACGAGCAGGGTTTTCTTTCACAATGACACAAAGTAAGACATCTTAAAACTGAAGGCATCTTGAAGTCAAGGAAATCCAGGTCTGGGCTGGCACTAGAGTGGGCCTAATTATTATGAAAGTTGGATGCCTCACTGGAGCATCAAGTATTCCACTCGCCCCCAAGTCTTTCCTAGTTCCAAGCCTGGCTCCTTCCCCCGGGGACTCCCATTTGCCCCAGGGCTCTGGTGCTCAACTCTCCTGCAACTAACAGACTCCACCAGAGCCCCCGTCCACGCACATGCTTAGCTCTCCTGGAGCAGAGTTCAGGATCCAGCCTCTCTCCCCAGGTGTAATCCTCAGTCATGGAAGTCAGGCCCAGTCGTCTGCTACCTGGCTGCACATGGGAAACACCTGGGAACTTTTAAAAGATCCAACCACCAGGCCATTACCTAGATCAATTCATTCCAAATCTGTGAGGAGTAATGTTACAGCTCCCCATGAGATTCCAAGAGAGCCTAGGCAGAGAACTAACTTGGTGTGAGTGAAAGAGAGGCATGAGGCAGCACTGCCAGTAGGTGGAAGGTGTTAAGACATACAATCAAACCTATCTATCTTCCTCCCTACCCGCCCAGACTCTGAATTCCTTGAAGGAGACCAGCCAATTATTTCAGTTCCCTCAAAGCACTAGTCCCTTGCCAGGCAAATTGTGGGAGCCCAGGAAATGTAAGCGCCAGGGCCTCCAAGGCCAGGCAGAAAAGGCCTGGTGCCAGGAAAGGTCTGGGCCAGCACTCTGATTCACTGTGTAACCTGCAGTGAGATGCTACTCTTCTCTGTGCCTCTACAATGCGTGACTGGTGCAGGTGGCCCTGAAAGGTCCATTGAAGTGCCAACACTGAATCTGGACTTTATGTAAGAGGACACTTCTGCCCAACATCTAAAGAGCTCAAGACAGTGGGGGCCAATAAGTACCAATCTTCCTACTCACCCTCAACACATGTACTAGTGCTTCCAGGCCTAAAATCTTCAATTCTGGGACTCTATCCTGTACGGGCTGCAAAGCAGAAAATCCGAGGCCCTAAAAGCCGAAGACCTAAAAGCAACATAACAGGAACCCCCAGAGGACTCTGGAGAACAGCATGTAAATGAAGGAATTTTTTAGATGGTGAACACAGTCCAGATTGAGAGGCCACAGGACACCTGACAGGACCCAGCTCTGCCCTTAGGAGTAATAAACAACGTGAGGTGGTTCAACGGACTAGAGAGAAACTCCCAAGGGGGAACTTCATGAGAGGAAACACTCAAGGACCAAGACAAGTCCAAAAGAGCAGTGGAAAAAGGCCAGCTTCTGGCCATCAGCAAAGTCAAGGCCCTAATACACAACTAAAGGCCTTTATTGGGAAAAGGAAGTTGACTGAAAACTGGCTCCCAATATCCTCACTGTCTGAGGCAGCCAGGGCCTCCTCCACAAAGTCCAGGAAAGAAGGGGCCACCAAACTGGGCCCTCATCAGGTTCAGGTGTAGAGGTCAAAGTCAATACGTTTGGAGTTGTAGAACTGTCCATCAGGGGGGTCCAGCTTCCGGCAATAAACACCATCTGGGAAGTAGCCTTCATTCACCCAAGTCTGCAGGAAGAGAGGGCAGAGCTGGGGCAGGACTGACAGAGTGGAGAGAGGTAAAGAAGAGGCAAAATGGAGTAGAAACGAGCTTACCTGCATCTGGGTGCTGGTGAAGGGCCCGTACAGCTCAGCATCCCCCGTGTTCTCCCACTTGTATTCCCACATCACATCCGCCAGACCATCTCCGGAAGACTCTGCTTCTAAAATAACAAGCAAAGCCATAGGGGCCTCAAGTGGCCTGCCCCCTGCCCACAACACCCCTCCTTTGCCCTACAATCTTACCTCCTCTCTGGGTAGGGGTTGGGGTCTCCAGCTCGCCCTCTGCCACTTCTTCAGCAAACATGTCCAGAGAGGGTGGTGGTGTGGGGTCAGGAGGTCCCTGGGTCCGACACCCCAATCCCTTCAGCCGCATAGCCAACCGTTCCCTTGTCTCTTGATATACTCCGAGGTTACCCTGGGCCACCATCTGGTCGGCCAACCCAGAGAGCCGGTCTAGGCGCTGAGGGGAACTGGGCCGCCCCGGCCCCTTGCTGCCCCCTTTGCTTCCTCCTCGGGCCCCTAGACGCCTCAGTG